TCGGGGGTGGGCCTTGGGGTGGGGGCTTCCTTGGGAATGTGCAGAGGCAGGAGGAGGAGCTGGAATGGGGAAGAAGGCGTGTTTCCTGGGTCCTGTAATCCACTGGCTGGCAGTCACTGTGGGGACCACCCTTGGTCTGGCCCACGTGACACTGACCTTTCATGCCTCTCAGGGAATGTGTTTCAGACTTGTCCCCAGGCAATGTGTCCCTCTGGCTGTGTGTCATTGTCCCCCCTGTTCAATGTGTGCAGAGCAGATGCCCGTGGGAGGATAGTTCCCGGGACACACGTTGTCCCTACTAAAGACGTTCCCCCTCATGCTGGACTTCCATATGGGGGCATAATGGAGGAAAACTTTTTAAAAAAATATATATTTTACTGATTTTTTTACAGAGAGGAAGGAGAGGGATAGAGAGAAATGATGAGAGAGAAACATCGATCAGCTGCCTCCTGCACTGGGGGCCTACAGGAGAAGTGCCTGTAACCAAGGTACATGCCCTTGACCGGAATCGAACCTGGGACCCTTCAGTCTGCAGGCCGACGCTCTATCCACTGAGCCAAACCGGTGAGGGCAGGAAAACTTTTTTTTAACCAATAAAAGCAGAGTCCTCTATGCCGACCTCCTTGGCTGTGGGGTCGGTGAGGTGTAGCCAGCCCATGTGGGGCCATCCTTCTCCCCAGGGCGGGGGCTAAGCCTGCTGCCTCAGCCGTGTCTGTTCCCTGCTCACAGGTGAACTGGTGACCCACTTTCTGACTGCAGACGTGGACAGTTTTTCCTACTTGAAGAAGGTCTCCACAGAGGGTCACCTGTACAACGGCTTCAACCTCTTAGCAGCCGACCTGAGGTGAGTCTGCTGGGGGTGGGGAGGGTGGCAGCCCACCGAGTGCCCCCACAGGACTGGGACTGGACTCAGCAGGGAGTAGGGTGCCTGCCCCGCTGCTCAGCTCGGGTGCCGTGGCAGCTGGGGCAGCCTCTCTTAGTTGGCTTGGTGAGGGCTGAGCCCCTCCCAGACCCACTGCCGTGGGGACCTGGGAAGCAGAGCTTCGCAGTGGGGCTCCCTGTGACGGTGTGGGGGCTGTTGGATCCTGCCATCGGGGAACTGGAGCATGACTGCAGGGCGCTCTCCTAGTACAGGGCATGCCCCCTGCCGACACCCGCCCCTTGGCCCCAGGTCCTCTCCCGTCCGTTCCTATGGCTGGGGAGCCCGCTGTTTTGGGACCATGCCTCACTTGCACTGCTCGCTGGGAGGCAGAGGTGCCCCAGGCTGGAGAAGGAAGGTGCAAGCACAACTGGCAGTGGCCCTGGAGCGCTCTGGGACCCCATGGGGATAGGGCTGTGGCAATTGCCAGGCAGCGAGGGGTCTGCACGACGTGGCCCCTGTATGACCTTCTCTGCCCTCCTGTTCACAGCACAGAGAAGGGAGATGTCTTCTGCTACTATGGAAACCAGGGGGAGCCCGAACCCATTGTCCTGGCGCCAGGTGAGCCTGCTCTGGTGGGTGGCGACAGGGTGGGCGCTGCTCCTATGGGGACACTGCTGTATTTTTCAGAGACTAGGGCCCGCTCATATTTCTCTCCTGGGACTGCTTTTTGGCTGTTTGTGTACCTTATGGCCTACATGACAGGCTGCCCTCAGCTGAGGCCGCCTCCCCCCAGCGCTGAGCCTGGGACTGCCCTGAGAAAACGGGAAACTAAAAGGCACAAAAGGACAGAGAGTGCCACCCCCTCCCACCCCCAAATTCTATGCATCGGCCCCGAGGCCTTTGTGGAAGCATCTGGAATCTGTCTCCGTGATGCCCTCAGTTCTCAGTTCTAACGACTCTGTGACTAGAGATGCTTGTTTTTGTTTTTTTTTCTAGATTGTTGTTTGGAAGAAATTCTTTTCACCTGCATCCTATTGTTTCATCCCTGAGCCTGCCCTGACCTGGTCCATGTCACTGTCTTTTTAATAACAGTTTTATTGAGATAGAACTCACATGTCATAGATCCCCCATTTAAGTGTACCATTTAGTGAATTATCATATATTCACAAAGTTGTGCACCTGTCAGTATCACTGCTATTTAACATTTTCATCACCTCAAAAAGGAACCATACCCATTAGTAATTGCTCCCTTCCTCTTCTTCCCCAGCCCCTGGCAACCACCAATCTACTTTCTGTCTCCGTGGCTTTTCCTACTCTCCCTTAGCATGTTTTCAAGGTTGATCCATGTTGTAGCATGAATTAGGGTTTAATTCCTTTTTATGGCTGAATTATATTCTGTTTCATGTGTATCCTACATTTTGTTTCTCTATTCATCCCATGATGGACATTTGGGTTTCCTTTTCTACCTTCTGGCTATTGCAGATAATGCAGCTATGAACATTTGTTACAAGTTTTCGTGTGGACACATGTTTACATTTCTCTTGGGTATATACTTAGGAGTGGAATTGCTGGATCATAAAGTAACTGTTTAATCTTTTGAGAAACTGCCAACTGTTTTCCAAAGCAGCTACACCATTTTACATTCCCACCAGCATAGGAAGTTCCAGGTTCTTCACATCCTCGCCAAAAGTTGTCATTGTCTATTTGTGTGTGTGTGTGTGTGTGTGTGTGTGTGTGTGTGTTCTATTACAGTCATCCTAGTGGGTGGGAAGTGGTATCTCATTGTGGTTTTGATTTGCATGTTCCTGGTGGCTAATGATATTGAGCAGCTTTTCATGTGCTTAATAGTCATTTTTGTATCTTCTTTGAGGAAATGTCTATTCAGATCTTGAATTGGATTGTTTGTATTTTTATTATTAAGTTGAAGTTCATTATATATTCTAGCTTCTAGTCCCTTATCAGATATATAATTTACAAAAATTGTCTACCCTTCTGTGGGTTTTCTTTTTACTTTCTTGTTGATCAAGAAAGTTTTGAAGTGCATCATTGTAAATTGATGATGTCCATTTTATATTTTTTCTTTTTTTGTGTGTGTGCTTTTGATATCGTAGCTAAGAAATCATTGCCTAATCTAAGATTGTGTAGCTTTCCCCCTATACTTTCTTCTAAAAGTTTTACAGTTTTAGCTTTTACATTTAGGTCTTTGGGACATTTTGAATTGATTTTTGTATATGGTGTGAGGTAGGGGTTCCACTCCATTCTCTGCATGTGGCTGCCCAGATGCCCAGCACTACTGATGAGTGGCCTTTCCTGTCACTCCTGATAGATAAAGCCCAGTGATACTCTGGGCTGGTGGCGTAGCTATGGGGGCCTGGCAGAGCCAGGGCTGTCTTCCTTGGAAGTTGCTGAAGTCATGCCATACTCAGTCAACTTCTTGCCTGGAAAGTCTGGCAGCTGGAGAGGGTGGTGGCTCCCTGTCCGCAGTGTATCTTTCAGGATGCATGACTCTGAGCTCCCCAACCCCTGCTACCTGCTGTAACCTCTCCACCTCAAGGCCATGCCTCTCTCTCTCTCTCTCTCTCTCTCTCTCTCTCTTTCTCTCTTTCTCTTGACATGAGAACCACCCCGCCCCTTTTTTTTGTAATGCCTTCTATTAACCACCGAGAACTTGTTCTGAGAAACTTGTGTCAAGACCTTAAGGCTCCCCCAGCCAGGGTCCCTGCCAGCATGTAGAGGAGGCCCTGCCCATGCCCACTAGGTGGGGCTGTCGTGATGTGGTGTATACTCTACCTGCTGATGTGAGCCAGGACGGATTTGGGGCAGTCACCCTCCTGGCCTCTGGTTGTGATTTTCCCACCCTTGACCTGCTCGGGTAGACCCACCCATTGAAGCCTTTTCCTAGCTTAGGGAGGGATGAGAGTGAGATGGGGAGGTGGTTCCCCCTTTCCTTTGCCCAGTTGGATTTCAGGTTGTGTATTCCTTATTGTCAAGGCCATTTGGCCTCAGTACCTTGCAGTCTCCTATTGGTGCCCTACCATGTTGAGTTTTCCACCTCTGGCCATGCCGATGGTTGGGAATACCCATAGAGAAGATGCTGGAGTTCGGGGCACCTGGCCTCTGTGCCCCCAGCTGTATCCTGGCACCTTGCCTGGTGCTGGGTGGGTGGGCGGGAGCTTACCCTAAATTCAGGCAGTGGGGCCTTTGCACTGGTGGACTGACCCCTCTCTGCAGGGACCTATGGGCTGAGCAATGCGCTGCTGGACACGCCTTGGAGGAAGCTGTGCTTTGGGAAGCGGCTCTTCCTGGAGGCTGTGGAGCGGAGCCAGGCCCTCCCTAAGGAAGTCCTCGTGGCCCAGCTTCTGGACGTGCTCAACAACGAGGAGGCGTGAGTGGGTGGGTCCTGCTGGGGTGAGCAGAGCGTCTCCCCATCACTCTGGCCCCGGGGCGGAGAGGCAGGCAGTCTCTGCTGCCCTGTGAGGCCCGTGGAGGTGACGGGGGCCAGCTCCTCAGCTGAAGGAGGACCTGACGGATATGCTGACACGCTGTCCCCTGACCCCTCCCACCTGTCCCTGTGGACAGGTAAGGTTTCCGACGGGGGCCTTTGAGGATGGGAGATGGGGCAGTCGTGGGCCAGTAGTGTGCTGGGAAGCTCGGTGCTTTCAGAGCTTGATGTGGGCTTGGGTGGTGCTCACAGGAGCTGGAGGCTCCCCTCTGTTTGCACACAGGAGCTGTGGCATAGAGCCCCACCCAGATATTACCTGGGGAAAAGCTGTCTCCGGCCCAACTTCCCTGAGGCACTGCAGCGATCTCTGCGTGGAATGGCATATTTCAGCCATCCCAGTGCGGGTAGGGGTGTATGTCAAGGTGCTGGCCAAGCTACCTTCCTCCCACGCAGCAACACGGCCCACACTACCCCACTCAGGCCAGGCCAGTGTCCTGCCCAGATGCCCATGGCCTCTTAGAAGAGCCACCCACAGCCTGCCTCTCGCTCCTCTCCCCTACAGCCCCTTTCTGCCCTGGCTCACCCTCCCTCTCCTCTTTGAACCATGAACCAGGGCACCGCCTCAGCACAGCTGACCCCTCATGGCCCATGACAGGCCCTGGCTCCTTTTATTGACAGCTGTGGTGGCCAGCAAGCTGCAGGGCTTGAGTGGGCTCCTGTCACGTGGAGAGATGCCCATAGGGCACCTCTTGGCATAAGCAGGAGCATATGTGACCAGGTGACTGCATCTCTCAGCCTGGCCCCTGCCTGCAGCACCCCCACTGATCCAGGCCCCACTGAGAGGAGGAGGCAAGCTTGCTCCCGGGGTGGCTTCTGTCCCCCTGCAGAGGACCCTGCACAGCTCTGACCAAATAGACGCCAGGCATTTTCAGGTCCAGCAGAGCCTTCCTAGCACTGAACTCATAGGTGCTCATGTCCTCCAAGTCTTGAGTTCTGGGTCCTGGGTCCTGGGAAAGCTCCTGGTAGCCCTGGCAGGGGGCGCTGTCCCAGTAACCGCTGTCTGGTCGCCTAGGCCCAGCCACGGAGTCCTAAGTGAAAGTCTTGACCAAGATTTGAGCCTTTGAGCAGAAAAGTGCAAAAAATAGACCTTCCAAGGCTGTGGGCGGGCAGCAGGTGTGGGGGTGGGGTGGTGACCCCTCTTTTGTCCTTCCAGGCAGTTGCCAGACCCGGCCATTGAGGACCAGGGCAGGGAGTATGTGCAGCCCATTCTGAGCAAGTATGCGGCTGTGTGCGTGCGCTGCCCAGGCTACGGCACCAGGTACGGCGGGCTGCTGGGTGCATCTGGTCCTGTCTCACCAGGAACCTGGCCTAACCCGAGCTCTGTGGATCCCAGAGCCTCTGCCTTATCTAGAAGGATGCCGTTTCAGCTCAGGGGGCTGTTGGGTGAGCAGATGCCAGCTCCCAGGGGTGCTGCAGACCAGGCACAAGGCCCCCAAGGCTTCCATTGCTTCCCAAGAGGGGGTCCTAGGCTGCCCCCTACCCTCTTACACAGCCACAAGGGGGCCAAGATGGCATTGGGCAAATCCCTGTCAGCTTGGAGGTCCCAGGGTCTGGCTCCTCCCTGCACTTGCCTGTGTCCCTGGGCCTGTCACGTTCTTTGCGTGACCAGGGTCGGGATTAGGTCACCTCAACCTGGGATGTTGCCGTATCCCAGAAAAGGCGAAAATGTCTCAGCCGCGAGATGATAATGTCCAGGGGGGAGAAGCTGTCCTGGCAAATTCCTTTCCTGTCTTCCTCCCTCCTGGGTGTGAGGCTGGGAGTCCTGGCCTGCCCATGTGGGCCCATCAGAGGGCAGCCCACATGCTGTACTTAGAGGTGGCTGGGAGGCACAGAGGAGGGTAGGTTGGGGTGCAGCCAGATGCGTTAGGAGTGCTGCTGCCACGTGCCTGGCCTACCTGGCCTGGAGGTGGAGCACCGCTTCATGTGCAGGCCACGTCTGCCAGGCTCAGCTTGCACCAGGCCCCAGGGGCACCAGCCTTGTGTCAGGCTGGGGACCTGCAGTGACTGTGGTGGATGGGCCGTGCCCTTGGGGGCCCATGGCTACCAAGGACTCGGAAGAGGTGTTCAGGCCGTGACCAGTACTGACTAACGTCAGGGTGATGTCACACATATACCTGGTTTTTCGATTCAGGTCGTTTGAGATTGAGTGAGCCAAGCCCCTGCTTTCCCCGCAGGTGGGAGAGGTTGGGGTATTGCTGCCTTAGGTGGTTCTCCCAGGAGGATGTATGCCAACCTTGCTATGGTGACATGGCTGAGGATCTGCTGATGCTGAGGGCATCAGGCAGGGGAATGGGCATGTGAAGTCCTGGCGACCAGCAGGCCCCTCTGAGTCTTCCATCCTTCAGGAACTGACCGTTTCGAGCCCTCTGGCTGGGGGAACGGATGGTGTGAATGTCGGCACTGATGCTCCCAGGCCCCGGGAGGGTTGCACGCCTGAATGGCAGTCTTTCTGGCTGGGAGGCTTTTTCCTTGGCAGGGGCATATTTCCCTCAAGCCCTCCGCCATCATAGGCTTATTTTTTGACTAAACCATGTGCTCGTGTGAACTTGGTGTGTGAGGCAGAATGCCAGGTCTGCTCCCTGTCTGGTTGCATGGCCGCTGGGTCCCACCTTGACTGTGGGGAGGGCCAGGCAGGAGGACAGGTGTGTTGAGAATTGGAACAGGGTAGTGGGGGCGGCGAGGGAGGGCACAGAGGAGTTTTCTAGGTGAAGAAGGCCTGGTCACCAAATAGTTGACAGGCTGACCGCTTGGAAGAGCTGAGTATGGCCGAATGTCCGTAGTTGTGCTGGGCCGTAGCCGGAGAGCCCAGGGCTCGCCCTGGTGAGAGTGGTGGGTGGTTGGAACTTGTACCACAGAGGGTGGGCAGGGAAGGCTGGGGTGTGTCAGAGTGGAGGCAACAGGAGTCATCAAGCTTCGTCCTGGGGGGCTAGCCAGGGAGCTCCAGACCCCACCAGGCTCAGCGCCCAGCTACCCCAGAGAGTCCCTCTACTTCCCAAGGCTGCTGCTCATTTGCGACCTGCCTCTAGGCATGCTGAGTGCCTAGCACAGGCCCCAGGTGTGGTGGACTTGCCCCTTCTGCCTCAGATCTGACCCCAGTTGGGGCGCTGACAGGTGGGCCAGAGCCGAGGGCAGCGGGCTGAATGTGGGCCCTGTGCTCTCTTTCAGAACCAACACGGTCATCCTCGTGGACGTGGATGGGCATGTGACCTTCACAGAGCGCAGCATGCTAGACAAAGACCCTTCCCGCTGGGAGACCAGGACCCACGAGTTTACGCTGCAGAGCTAAGACCTCCCCCTGAGCGCAGCCAGCAGGCTCCTGTAAGGCCCTGTCTTGAGGACTGGATGGGAACCTTCCACAGCACAGGCACTGCCTGTGTGTGACTTGGCCAGCATCTCTCAGCACCAGGGCCCTCTGATTTGTGTGTGATCTGTCTGTGTCCCAGTATCCAGCTCGAAGTCCATCCTTATGCCAGTGGGAGTGGCAATTCCCACACAGCCAGGTCAAAGGCAGGGCAAGGTGCATTCACACATGCACGGCACACCTGGCCCTGCCCCCTCCCCATGCATAGATACACCCACGCAAGGCACATGCTTACATACATGCCTACAGGTGTACAGGCACACATGTACACCTGTGGTGCACACACACAGGCACAGGCATGGGCAATAGATGTGTGCACAGTTGCTGGAACACACACACGCTCCCAGGACCCACGAGTTTACGCTGCAGAGCTAAGACCTCCCCCTGAGCGCAGCCAGCAGGCTCCTGTAAGGCCCTGTCTTGAGGACTGGATGGGAACCTTCCACAGCACAGGCACTGCCTGTGTGTGACTTGGCCAGCATCTCTCAGCACCAGGGCCCTCTGATTTGTGTGTGATCTGTCTGTGTCCCAGTATCCAGCTCGAAGTCCATCCTTATGCCAGTGGGAGTGGCAATTCCCACACAGCCAGGTCAAAGGCAGGGCAAGGTGCATTCACACATGCACGGCACACCTGGCCCTGCCCCCTCCCCATGCATAGATACACCCACGCAAGGCACATGCTTACATACATGCCTACAGGTGTACAGGCACACATGTACACCCGTGGTGCACACACACAGGCACACACAGGCACAGGCACACACAGGCACACATGCAGACATCATGCTCCAACACACTGAAGAGAAGATTTTGGTTGTTTATTGTTCTGATTCCAGAAAGTTTATT